ATATTATTTTGAACATTGTAATTTGCCAAATGCTTTTTCCCCCTGTACTCTTTCTCCCTTGTATTCACCTCTCTCTCTTTTAAAAAACTCTTGTCCCTTTTTTCTGACTGTGTACATTACTTCTACCACTGTGAGCATCATTTCTTTCTAAATCCCTGCCCTCTCCCCATCAAACTTGTGTTTCCTAGATATCAGTACGTGTGGGGAAGAAGAGTTAGAGGATTCAATCAGAGGTGATGGGGTGACATTTAAGAAAAAAGGGAAAGAATCTAAGGTAAAGAGTCAAAGCACAGATACCTTATATCAGAATTTATGATCAGTTGTTAGTAAAAAGGTCTGAAAAATACTCAATGTGTATTCCTCTTATGTAAAAGAGGTCTAAAGGTAGACAGTTTGAGGCTGTTGTTTTTGCTGTATGAATTATCAGGGATCTAGGTCCCTTCGACCTTGTCACCATCCTCTGTAACAGCTGTATGCAGTCGCTAAAGCACCAGCCATCAATTCTGCATTCCAGTCAGCAAGAAGTCACAGTGGGAGGAGACCCGAAGGGGTTGCCCAGTCAGAGTTTTCCAAAGAGGTTTTTCAGAATGTACACATTTTCTCTTATATCTCATTAGCCAAAATTTAGTGACATGACCACCCTTGGTTGTAAGGGTAACATGCAAGTTTTATTTCAGATGCAAATGTACAAGATAAAAATTGAAATTGCTATTTTATAAAAAGGAGAGAATATCTATTTAGTAGGCAAACAACAGTTTCTGCCCTAGTCCCAAATAAATACATAATATGTTAAGTTCTGAAGTGCAGGTACGAACTCTTAATGTGTGCTGAAAGGTCAATGGACAAATGAATGAATGCATTATAAGGGGTGCAAGGAACAAAATCAGAATGAGGAGATACAATGGTGCTTTATTGAAAAGTAGTTGGGGATAAAGCAAGGAAAAAAGGAAAGAGGAAAAGAGGAAGTGAGAATAGACAAAAATTCCTGAGTTGGAAGTCTCTTTAACACACAAAGCTTCCTTTAATAACAGTAATAGTATTAAAAAGAGTAATACAAAATACAGTTTATTTTAAAATGATATCAAAAATTTTTGAAAGAAAAAAACATTCTAGAATCCTATCTTTTTAATGTAAGTATTTTCATTTCTTCACATTTTCCAGAGAGATTGATAGATATATAATTTTGTCAGTGTTTTAGAACTTAGAATTTTTCAATCTGTTCTATTTTTATTGATCACTTATTAAAAATACTCCGTGTTTCTACATAATATTTATTACCTTATGGCTTATATAATAATTTTAGGTCAATTTAGTCTTTAATATAAATATACAGTCATGCATCACTTAACAACAGGGATGCATTCTGAGAAATATGTCATTTCAATCAGAGGTGACGGAGTAACATTTAAGAAATGAAAAAAACAAGCCGGGCTCGGTGGCTCAGCCTGTAATCCCATGCCTTTGGGAGGCTGAGGTGAGTGGATTGCCTGAGCCCACGGGTTCGAGACCCGTCTAGGCAGCAAGACCTCATCTCTACAATAAATCAAAAAATCAGTTGGGCGTGGTAGTGCATGCCTGTAATTCCTGCTACTTGGAAGGCTGAGGCGGAAGGATTGCCAGAGCCCAGCATGTCGAGGCTGCGGTGGCCAGGGGCGGCCACTGCACTCCAGTCTGGGCGACAGAGTGAGACTCCAACTCAAAAAAAAAAAAAAAAGAAATGAAAAAAAGGAAAGAATTCTAGGTAGAGAGTCAAAACATAGACACCCTATATCAAAATTTGTGATCAGCAATTTCATTATTGTTTGAAATCTTAGAGTGTACTTATGCAAATTTAGATACAGTTTACTATACACCTAGGCTATAGGTATAGCCTGTTGTTCCTAGGCTACAAACCTGTACAACATGTTGCTGTACTGAATACTGTAAACAAGTTATAACAATGTTAAGTATCTATATATCTAAACATGTGTAAACATAGAAAAGGTACAGCAAAAATATGATACAAAAGATTTTTGAGTGGTACACCTGTATAGGGCAGCTTTATTGTAAACATGTGGGACCACTATCTTATATGTGGCTGGTTATTGACCAAAATGCCATTATCTACAGCACATGACAGTGTAGATAAGGCCATCTCTATCTCTATTTGGGATACATTTCACATGAGGTGGAATTGCTGAGTAAAAAGATTGGCATATATGTTTAAACACTGCTATTAACTGCATTTTTGTCTAATAGACACTGTGTTAACCTTAGAACCAAAGAAATGGCCCCTTTAAGATCTATGTGTAAAGGTACCTGGTTAACTAACCCCCAAAGTCAAGGAGTTAGCCAATCAGGAAACCTGAATTTGGTTTCTGGTTTTGTAGACCTCGGCAACACACTTCATTTCCCTGTGTCTTGGTTTTTTCAACTGTACAATACATGGTTTGATTTTTTTAAATTTATTGAAATATGTATATATTAAAAGGTACACAAACCATAGGTGCACAGCTAAATGAAATATCACAAAGTGAAACCACCCATATTACCACCAAAAGGTCAATACATAGAACCATTATCCATGATGCAGAAGACCCTACTTGTACTCCCTCCTAGACTTTATTTCTTTTCTCTTCCTTATGACTTCTAATATCAGATATTTTTCCTGTCTTCAACACTTAAATGAAATCATTAAGTTTTTTTTTTAAATGCCTGGCTTCTTGTACTATTATGTTTGTGAAATTTATTAGTGTGGTTTATAGCTGTAGTTCATTTTCATTGTTACATTATATTCTATTGTCTGAATAAACTTCAAGTTTTGTATCTGTCCTACTGCATTTGGGTTGTTTCCAGATTAAAGTTATCACTAAAAAATGCTTTTAAAACATGTCTCTGGTGGCTGGGTCATAAAATATGCTTCCAAAGATGGTATTACCAATTTACATTCTCATGAACAATGTATGAACATTCCCATTGCTCCATAATTCTTGCTAATGTTTGGCACTGTGAATCCTTTTTTTTTTTGGTTAGAGCCTCATTCTGTTGCCCAGTCTCGAGTGCAGTGATATGCTCACGGCCACTGTAGCCTCAACCTGCTGGGCTCGAGAGATCCTTCCTCTTCAGCCTTCCAAGTAGCTGAAACTACAGATGTGCGCTACCACGCCCAGTTTATTATTATTTTTGATTTATTGTAGAGAGGCAGGCTCACCAAGTTGCCCAGGCTGGTCTCGAACCCCCGAGCTCAAGCAATCCTCTCGCCTCGGTCTCCCAAAGTGCTGGGACTACAGGCTTGAACCACCGTGCCTGCTGTGAATCCATTTTAAACAGAGATTTCAGTATTGGGCTTGTGGTTCCTTAATAAATATTCAAGGACCAATCATATTGGCAAAATTCAAGAGGCTGAAAACATACAGTTCATAAGACTGTGGAAGGCTGTGTGAAAACAGGCACTTTCAAAGTTTGCTGTTGCAAATACAAAATAATACAATCCCTACAAGGACACACTCCCCTTATTGTTCATTGCAATATTATTTGTTAAAGGGAAAATATTGGAAATAACCCAAACACCCATCTCTAAGAGACTGGTTTAAAAAATTATGATACACCCACACAACGGATTGTTATTCAAGTGTATATAAAAAAGACTATTTCTATGAACAGATTTAGACTAATTTCCAGTCTCATCTGTTAAATGCTAGAGGAAGCATTAAAGAGTGTATATAATTTATAGGAGTAAAGGAGGTAAATACTTACTTTTGCAAGAAAAAAGAAAAAGGGAGATAAAGAGTAGGGAAGGGAGGAGGGAAGGTGGGAGAAAAAAGGATAAATAAAACATTAATGAAAATGGGGTATGAGTATATATGGGGTAAAGGGGTTAGGTTCCTCTGAATTCACCTTTTTATATAATGTTGATTTTGAACCAAGTAAATGCTTTGAATTTTCAAAAAAAAAATTGTAAGGGGATGAAAGAAAAGAAAACCCTGAAATTGAATATAAACAGAAATAAATGATCCTAACTGTATGCCAAGTTTATAATATAATCATACAGAGAAAATAAAATTCAAATAAGGTATGTATATACAGTACTCTGTACTCCCCTAGCTGGATATATAATTTAAGAAAAAATAAAACAAGCAAAGAAATTTTGAACACTATATAGTAGGCATGTTGTTTCTAGTGATATATTGGTACTGTAATTTTGAAACTCTTTTGTTTGTAAGATAGAGTAGATTGAGTTAATATGTTGATGCTCTTGGGAGCCAGGGTTTTTACTACAGATCTGCAATGGTTAAAATGAAAAACAATCCTGTGAAGTTGTTTTGAATAGAAAGTACCTTATAAAATCCTTATCATATGTGCACATATTCCAGCTCTTGTCCACTGACAGGTCTTAGAAGCCATGATATATACCAGTAGCAATGAGCTTATTCATTGCCCCAAACCCAGATCTTAGTTTCTGTAAACCGTTTTCCACTAATGAGAACTGTGGCATCATGGAGCAATGATGATTCCAGGTCTAGGGCAAGAAAGTATAAAATGAGCATAGGATATCTTGTGTGAGAAAATAGAGTGCACAAAAAACTGTTGGGAACTATCAAAAAACATGGAAACTTGTTTGAAAGGGCTCCAGCTAGACCAGTTTGAAATAATTTGAGCATCAATAGTGACTATAATTGTTTATAATGTTGAATTTTTAAAACAACCGAGTTCACTGTAATGAGAACAGGGATGTTTTGCAGGAAATGGCAACTAAGAAATGTAGAATGAGTGTGCCTGTTTCCTCACCTGCTAAATGAGTATGTAACTCACAGGATTGTTACACAGAATGAGTTAATACGTTTAAAGCACTGTGTTGGCTCTTATATTATTGCCCTCTTGAAGAGAATGTGCCCCCTAGCATCTCACGACGGCTAGAGACTGGACCCGACGCTGCGACCACAGAGGTGTGGAAACCTCCGGGATTCCTAGATGGAACATAGCCAGAACCGTTGTTGGCAGAGTGGGCCTCTGTGACGCACTTCCGGTCTTTGTAGTTTCACTCTTTGGGCTGCGGTTGTCAAGGACTCAGAGGTGATGTGATCTGGGCTAGGTGGCATCTCCTCTAACGGATGCCTCGGTGAGCTTCGGAATCGGGCTACCGCTGAGGGCCTTCGGAAAGGCCGGTCTGTACTCTGCGTCCCCGGACTGGATGTGGGGATTTGGCAGCAGGGGCTTCTTGGCCAGAGATTGGCCTGGCAGGTGAGGGGCAGAGGAGGCTGCTCCGGAGCCTGGAAAGGCCTTGTTCACTAAAAACCTCCTTGCGCCCTACCCTTTCCCCACACCCCATGCCTATTCCTGGGCAATTCAGCCTCTCTGCCCTAGTGTTGGTGGCTCTCTGAACTCTCCCTATCCGCATCTTAGGGTCCGGATAGATTTGGATATCGAGAAATGTTTGTATTGTCCGATGTCTTATTCTTTACTATGGATCTATTTTTAACAATAAGCAGGGATAGTTTAAAAATATGCTACAGCCTTTCTTAAACTGATTCATGTAGTATAAAGGCTCTTGCTACCTGTTGGTTTTAAAAAATATTTAAATAGCACCACTGTATACCAGCCCGGAACTGTTCTAAGCACTTTCCAAGTATTATCTGCTTCTCATAATTCTATGAGATAAGCACTGTTATGTAGACTACACTCCTCCCCGCCTCTTTAACATCCAAGAAGAAAATGAGGTTAAGTAACTTGCCCAAGATCATACAGCTGGTAAGGGGTCTAGGCAGGACTCAAAGCCAAGCAGTTTGGCTCCAGAGTTAATTTTCTTAAAACTTTTGCTATACTGACTCTTCTATTTCTGTATTAGCTTTGCAGCCACAACCCAGTAAGTTACTTCTGTCATTTGAATCTGGTTCCTCTTTTAGATCTCAGTAGTTGTGGGCTTCTAGTTAGGATTTAAGATTGGAAAGGTATATATATCTGAAGAAATGTATGTCTGTCAGAGTGTGTCTGCAAACCTGATGAAACAGCCACTTTATTTTTGCATGCATGTGTTTCCCCACTCACCCTTTCATCTTTTTCTTTGGTCAATAGAACAGATTACAGTTCTTACTCTAAAGGAAGCACCATTGGTTGAATAAGCCATCATTGTACCAAAATTGAACATTATCTCATTAAAAGGTCAATTTGCATGTTTGTATGCCAAACCCTTTTATATACATTATCTCATTGAATAATCTTAACAACTTTGCAAGGCATTTATTGTCTCCATTATTTCATATATGAGCTTGAGGCTTAGAAAAATCGATCAAGTAACTTTCCCAAGATCACTTTGTTAGTAAATCAGAATTCACAATCAGATCCACCTGTCTATGGTCTCTGCCACCTTCTATTTTTCTCAGATACAGAGAAAAAATATAGGCTTATATCAGGTCTGTGTGTGTGTGCACGTGTGTGTACATGTGTGTATGATTGCAAATGCATAGAAAACATCAGAAAGGATACTTTCCAATCTTTAACACTGTCTATTTTTGGAGAGTAGAACTTGGTGAAGGAATTCGTATCTGTCTGTACTTTTGGGGCTAAAAACATAGTTGTGAAGAGAAATAATAGTACAAGATCCATTGTGACTGAGGGTAAAAGGCAGGTCTCATACAGTACATGACAAAAGGTCTGGCAGGAGAAAGCAGATGAGCTGAAATGGATGAAGGAAACTTCCGAGAGGATGTGAGGCTTGAATCAAACTGTAGAGATTGGTCGGGATTTAATAAGGGCAGAAGGCAAGACCAGTGTCAGTGCAAGAATGAGGAAAACCTAATTAAAAGAATAGAAGAAAAGCCTGACTGGAGCTGACAGTTTTTGGAAGTTGAATAGAGGAAAGCAAGAGTGGACAGGTCACTAAAGCTAAAGGTCTGACTGCCCTTGAACCATGCTTCAGAGTTCAGGAATTTGCCAGTAAATAGTGGGGAACCATAAGTGGTGACAGCAGAGGTGAGGATAGGGAGATATATTGTGATAAAGGCACATTTGTATTCTGTGGTGCTTAATCTTCACCTACTTGTGTATCCTTGGTAAAGAGCATTCTTCAGTGATGATAATGGTAGATGTGGGGGTATTGAGTTTGCCTTGGCTTTAGGAGAAGAAAAACTTTAAAAGACATGTATTTTTTAAAGATATGATTGTTATGCTAGTTTTATACCTCAAATATACATTGGAGTTGTGATCCTGAATGGGAGATTAGTATTTCTGTTTGTAACAAGGAGGGCAGGATTATTAAAAAAAAAAAAAAAAAAAAAGTGGGAAACCTTTTGGAGGCACTGGGTTCAAAGAAGAATTAAGATATGCTGGTGCAAGGATCTGGGTATTCAGGCCACCAGATCAAAGCAAAATAAGGCAAAGGAAAGCAAAAAGGAAACCAGGATACACAGAGGACGGAGAGAAATTAATTTTTGTGAAACTAAAAGATTTGAAACACCACATACCAGAAAATGACTAACACACATACCAGAAATGATCTTCTGCAGGCAGAGCTCAAAGCTTCAGCTTCATTTTCTGTGAATAGAAAAACTTTGACTTGAAACCAAGTGGGACAGGTGGCAAACAGGAAAAAGTTGTTCTTTAGGAGCCTAGAAGATTGAAAAAAACAAAAGAGCATGAGTGGCTGTTTAATCCATTGCATCCATGTTAGGTTAATTGAGTAATGTGAGAGTACATATTCTGAATTTACCTATTTGATATTTGTATCACAAAACTTTCTTGCCCTAGACCAAATTCAGCAGACAATGTTTCAAGCCATTGCCATCTCTCTCCTGGATATTATAGCTTCTCTCCCTGCTTCCACTTCCTCATGGTTATTAACACAACATCCAGAGTTACACTTTTATATTAAATGTAAGTAAAATTTTGTTACCCTCTTGCTCAAAACCCCCAATTGTTTTCCGCATCCCTTAGCATACAAGTTAGAGCCTTTCTTTACAGCAGCCTCTCATGTTCTGCTCCCAAGCTTCCTGCTTTATTTTCTGTCACTTTCCCTTTTGCTTCCTCTGTTCCAACTATTGTTCAACTAGCTGTTCCATGAAGAACCTAGGCATACTCTTACCTGAAAGAATTTGCACTCGCTGTTCCCTTTGCATAGAACAGTCTTTCTCCTGATAGCTGTGTGACTCGCTCCTTACTTCCTTTGGGTCTGCTGAACTATTGCCTTATCAAGGCCTTTCCTGACTGTATAAAATAGCAACTTTTTTTCCTCCTTACTCTTTACCTCCTTTAACTTTATTTCCTCCATGGCAATTATCACCATGGACATATTTAATTATTGTGTGTCTTCTGTGGCTCCCTTTCCTCCCTATACCCTCCTTTCTCCCATACAGGGCTTGTGATGTAGCAGTTGAGACTATGAATTCTGAAGTCAGATTTGCTGGGTTGGAATTGCAGCTTCACTACTAGCGTAATTGACTTGGACCTTGAATGAGTGACATAAACTCTTTGTTTTCTCATCTGTGATATAGGGATAATAATAGTACCTTATTCATGGTTGTTTTGAAGATTAAGTGGGTTAATATATACAAAGCATCTTAGAACAATGTCTGGTACATTAAAAGCACTATAAATGTCAGCCATTATTAATATTGTTATTAGAATGTACATTTCATGAGATTGGGGACTTTGTTCTATTTGCAGCTGTATCCCCAGTGCCTAGAATAGTACTTAGAAATGGTAGGTTCTGAAAAAATACTTGCTGAATGAACGAGCGGTGTATGAAAAGTTTTGACAAAAAAGATAATGTGGTAGTCACAATGATGGTGAGTCAGTACCAAGAAAAGTGGGGGGAAACACGAACTCAAGGATCCTGTCTTTAGAGGAAAAATTCCTCTTTACTCTTCTTTGGATGGTGATTATAAAAGTCAACCAAAGATGTTAGAAATTTCTGGAGAGGATTATGTTTGCAGGTTACCTAGAAAGATGCACTTCCACCCCAGTTGTTTTCCCCCCCTTTGATAAATGTAACCAGTAATGACAGTATGAAACTAACTTTTTTCTACTTGTGATATGATCAGTGTTCACCTGTTACTTAAATACCCTGTCTATAGTTATTTAATTTCATGATGCATATCAACACCTAAGAATAGTTTAGGGTTATTTTTGCAATGAATTACAATAATTTTACTTAAAGCAACATTTTTAATCTACAGATCTTGATTCATTTGTGCATAGTACAATTTATGTGGTGGTTGTGACCAGATTTTTGTTTTGCCTTTTAATCCAATAGGTTTAAAAAATATGGCTGGGCTCGGTGACTTGGCCTGTAATCTCAGCACTTTGGGAGACTGAGGCGAGTGGATTGCCTGAGCCCATAGATTTGAGACCCACCTGGGCAACTTGGCAAGACCTTGTTTCTGCAATAAATAAAAAAAAATTAGCCGGGTGTGGTAGCGCGCAGCTGTAGTTCCAGCTACTTGGAAGGTTGAGGTGGAAGGATCGCCAGAGCCTAGCAAGTCGAGGCTGAGGTAGCTGGGAGCGTGCCACTGCACTCCAGTCTGGGCGACAGAGTGAGACTCCAACTCAAAAAATAAAAAATGATAGTATGCCACATAAAGAAAAGATACATAGTATTTTGTGGAATCTTTATTTCAGTTGTTTTTGTGTATCTCGTGCATGCACAAACATGCATTTATACATTTATATACACGGTGTATGTGTGTTCTGGGTTGTAACATAAAATATTTCTTACTGAGAGTCCTGGTAAGAAAAGTTTCAAAACCTCTGCCCAGGAATGGTACTTAGAAATGATTGGGTCACATAATTCTATTTCTTTCAGAAAATTGCCATCATTAATTACTATCCTGGTTAAGATTGTTCATAAGTTTTATGTGGTCATAGACATTTGTTTCTTTTTTTTGGCAGTAATTTTATTTTACATAAAATTTTCTACCCTCTACCTTCAAGTAGCTTCAAAGATAAATAATTTTCAAGAAATTAAAAGGCAAGGAAAAGCTCAGATTCTACTCCTGTTTTAAAATATTACAGCTAATATTTCCTTCATTTTAATATCTCTGAGCCTAGACCACCAACATCAACTACTTTTTAAAATTCTTTTGCCATATTACTTAGACCACTAGGACATTCATTTAATCTTCCAATAACATTTATAAGAAAAATAACAATGTCACCACTTAAGAGTTTACTAAGCAGCCAGCTTCTTTGTGCTCTTTATCCATGATCTCAATATGTCTTTATATCAACCTAGAAAGATAGGTAGTGTTGGTTTTAGGATTCCTATTTTGCACGTTGAGGAGACTAAGGCTTAAACCATAAAGCCCAGGACTTTGATGGGAGTACCTGGAGAATCATGTCTCAATCACAAACCTTCCATACTTCAAACGTGAATCTCTCCTCTACACCTCACCTGACTGGAAAGACTCTGCCTCTCCTCCCCAAATGCAATTCTTAAGCTTCTTATGCTGTCTTTTTATCTTTTTATTTATTTTTTTACTTTTCCTTTACCCTCCATTTTGTTTCCCTTTTCTCCTTGATTCTTAGTGTCATCTGTGATAACTTGGGCCCAAAGTACCTACTTACCTTCATACAACTAAAAATTTGCTATAAGTCTAATATCCTGCCATTCCAGTGGAAATCCAGTATACTCAAGTTGATTTGAGCTACTTCATTCAAAATGATCAAAACTGACCCTTCTTTCAATAAATTGTGGGAGTTTTGGTTTCATTTCTGTTTTCCTTCCTATATTAACGTGCATTCGTTTTTGCATTATCCTTATCATTAATCATACATTCAGTGATCTTTCTTAATGAGGCAAAGTGACTGATTTTAGTATAAATACTCCAAATCCCTGCTTATCCTGAGGTTTTCTGCATTTTTATATTTTCTCTCTGCAAATTATTTTTTAGATCCCAGGGTTATCAGAAGAAAAGATCAAGGGGGAATGATCAAGAATAGATTTTTTTTCTGACTAGTTTAACCTTATATGGCTACAACCTTAGCCCTTCAGACTGCAGAGATGCAGGAGGGATTTCTGGCAGTGAAGGTAAAGGAGGAAGAGGAAGACCATGCCTGTGGACCAGAATCAGGCCTGTCAAAAAATAACCCCCATGCCAGAGAGATCTTTCGTAGACGCTTCAGGCAGTTCTGCTATCAGGAGACCCCTGGGCCCCGAGAGGCTCTTCGAAGACTCCAGGAGCTCTGCCATCAGTGGCTGAGACCAGAGATGCACACCAAGGAGCAGATCCTGGAGCTGCTGGTGCTAGAGCAATTCCTGACCATCCTGCCTGAAGAGCTTCAGGCCTGGGTGAGAGAGCATCACCCTGTGAGTGGAGAGGAGGCAGTGACTGTGCTGGAGGATTTAGAGCGAGAACTGGATGATCCAGGAGAGCAGGTGAGATGATGGGAGAATGGGTTTATAGGAACAAGTATGGGGTTTCAGTGCAACAAGAGGAAGAGGAGGAAGATTTCTTTATGCCAGACTTGATCTGCTGTAGGTTCTTAATTTCTCTGCCTCTGTTTTCTCTTTGCCAGCTTCTTGGTCCTTTTTCTATCCAGTGACTCTGAGGGAGGCCTTTTTGCAATGTCCTCTCTGATATTTGGTTCCCAATTGTGCCTGATTTCTACCAGGTCCTGATCCATGCTCATGAACAGGAAGAGTTTGCAAAGAAGAAGGCAACTCTAGGAGCAGCTCAGGAATCGTCAAGTGGCCAGTTCCAAACCTTGGAAGAGCAGTTTCAGTGTAATTTGCAAGAAATGTGCCCGGTTCAGGAGATTGGTGAGGATTAGAATTTTCTCAGGGAACCTACCTCATTTCCTGAATGTTAATCAATTCCACACACTTTTTTAGTGTCTGCTATATGCCAGGCATTGTGCCAGGTACTGGAGATACAGTGACTAACAATGGTGATCCCGTCTCTCATAAGTTTACAGTCTAGTGGGAGAGACAGACAATTGAACAAGCAGTTACAGTACAGTACATTCTCTCCCTGACGTCTGGGTATAATGTTTTGGAGTGGGGAAATAAACAGAAAAAGTGACTACTTGACCCCTTCCATTCGTTTTCCTGGTCAGTTTATTTCTTTTGTCTTCGGAAAGAACATGTTATTTCATATTACCTTTATTTCATGTTATTATTTCAGATGGCGAGGCTAGGACTTGGAATGGGGAGTTAGCCCCCAAGAGCGAGCTTTCTAAGGAAATGAAATCTCTTAGACAAGTTTCTGGAAAACTGAATGGTGATATTACTCAGATGCCTGAATGTGGAGACACCTGTGACCTTGAAGGCAGATTGGAAAAACACCGGGTAAGCTCTTCAGTGGAGAGACCCTATATCTGTGGTCAATGTGGAAAAAGCTTCACCCAGAATTCCATTCTTATTGAGCACCAAAGAACACACACAGGTGAGAAGCCCTATGAATGTGATGAGTGTGGGCGGGCCTTCAGCCAGCGATCAGGCCTATTCCAACACCAGAGACTCCACACTGGGGAGAAGCGCTACCAGTGTAGTGTTTGTGGCAAAGCCTTTAGCCAGAATGCTGGGCTTTTCCATCACCTCAGAATTCACACTGGGGAGAAACCTTTCCAGTGCAGTCAGTGCAGTAAGAGTTTTAGTCGACGTTCTGTCCTCATTAAGCATCAGAGAATTCACACTGGAGAGAGGCCTTATGAATGTGAAGAATGTGGCAAGAACTTCATTTACCATTGCAACCTCATCCAGCATCGGAAAGTTCACCCTGTGGCTGAATCAAGTTAGCTCCTTGGAACAGGTAGTGCAAAATTTCCTGACAGGAACACTAGCAAGGTACCAAGGGTACTCTTTGTTACTTTGTTCCTGAGAATAATAATAGTTTGATCTCCCAGCACAGAAAATTCTTGGGAAAATCTTATTCTTATGCTGAGAGAAGCATAATAATATCTTAAATACATCTGTCGAGTTCCCTCTTGTCTGTGACATCCACAGCTTTATAATATTGATTATTGCTTTTTGTGTTGACTTCATTATATATGCTGTAGACCAAGTCTTACACACACCTGTGCAAGAAGTTTTCTAGGTGTTCTTCAGGAAGACTTCTTCATCCCAGTTTTTAAAAACTTTAAAAGTTTAAAAATAATTATATACAGCTTGAGTACAAAATAATATCAAAGGCAGTTCATTGAGTATTTAAAAAGTAATTTAAAAATAAATGTAGTAAAATTTATAATGCAAACTACCTGACTTCTTTCCATTCACATAGGATAATTTTCTTTTTAACCTACAAAAGTAGGCAGATAAATCCATATAAATGTACAAAAAACTTCTCCCTATAGATGTTTAGTAATTTAACTGTCAGTCAGAAGCCAAGGGATTGAAGCAGCCATATGTTTTAGCAGCTTAGTGGCTAGTCATAACATATATTGTTTAAGATTTTAAATTTGTACAGAGGCCAAGAAACTTAGCTTAACATCTGATATCTCATTTCAGATCTTCATTTTGAAAATATAGACCTTTTTGCATTTTCCCTGAGACATATAATGAGCATTTTCAGTTTTTGCCTTTTTCTTAATCTTTTGTATGGAAATATCAAACATATACTAGAGTAAAGAGGTGTATGATCAGTCTTTCATGTTGATTGCTTTTTATAACTTCCACACTTTACAGCATTCACTTTTGATTACTACTAAGGTCATACATATAAAAATTTCATTCCCTTATCACTAATTGAGTAAATCTCTACAAAGCTTTATACTAGACCCAAAGACAAAGAAATGTTAAATCTTATGGTGATAAAACTCTGGTTTGGAAGACCCAGTACTTAGTAGGTAACTTGAGACTAATAGAATCACTGCAAGGGGCCTTAGAGATAACCTCTGCATGCCCTTATTTGAAGGTAGAGAAAAGGAGGCCCTGGGAAGTAACTAAGATTATACAGCCAGTTAATATCAGAACAGGAACTAGAACCCTGTCTCCTAACTCCTAGTGCAGTGCTCTTTCCACTGAGCCACTGGAAGCATTATAATACCAAATAGAAATTATAAGTGTATGGAATTTATAGAATTTATAAGTCATTGAGATTTTGCTTTATAGCTCAGCAAACCCTTCCATCTTTGTGTGTCAATAAATATACAATTTCTCTATTTAATTTAAAGTGGAGTTCAGGGAAGACTCTTCTTTTTTATTCTTCCTTGGAAGAATTTTATTTATTTTCATAGTGATCATTTATTTTTAACTTCTAAAATTTAATTTACTTAGTAGGACTTTTTAAAAAAGATAATTTATTCTTGATTTGGTTCAAAAATCGAAATATAAAAGGATCCCCTTCCTTCCCCTTATAGATAGCTATTTTACTGGTTTCTTATGTATCTTTTGATATTTATATAGATATAAGAAAATATGAATATATGATCTTGTTTTCTTCATTACACAGAAAAATGCCATGTTATTTATACTCTTCTACACCTTGCTGTTCTTATGAAGAATATAGTCTTTAGAGATTTCCACATCACAACAAAGAGAACTTCCTAATTCTTTCTACAAATAAAGAGTCTTTTTTGTTGGTGCTTCATAGTTTATTTAACAAACTCCTATATGTAAAAAAATTACTACTTAAAAATGTTAAATATTCTCTTTCATTCTTTTCCCCAATTTAGTCCAAGTCAAGTTCTTTCTATTCAAAAGCTAACAACTTCAACATGAACTAGGAAACATATGGACAATCAGAACTGCATATGATTTTTCTACAGAGAAATAGAGAAGTGATGGATAATATTTTTCAGTTTAGTGTATTTGGTTCTATCATTATTCTTAGAGCTGATATTTCAAACTATTTGTGTTACCACTTGTGGCTAATTGTGGGTATTATCAAAAAATTGTAAATTTCCTTAAGAATTGTTTTATTGCATCTTGAGGTTAAATATTTCCAAGAAAAATACATACAGAGTGAAGTTAAGGAATATATAGTAGATTTAACTTTGAAGTAAAATCAACTTCTCAAGTAAATATGTTTTCCATAAAGTGATATAATACATATACTATAATATTCTGAATTTCTAAATATCTTGAATGCCTCTCTATATGTTGAGACTGCATGTTTGGATAATTCCATTACATCAGGTCTTAAAAGATTTTAATTATGAACAGATCAGGTCTTAAAGAATGTATTTCTAATGGGGTGAGTTTTTATACCTGCAATGGCATGTTGGATGTTTGGTCTGTTTTGTGCTTGTTTTTTTACAGCTTCTCAACAAAATCTTGTTTTTTTTATTCCCTAGTAACTGGTAAAATACTAAGAAACAACAGTTATTTATGTGGCAGAGACAGATATACTGCTTAGAATGCAATGATGCTTAACATGATTAAAATGACAGTTTACCAAACTATCTTCCTTTGTGATACTAATTTTGCTGATTCTCTTGTACTAATACTTTTATCTGGGATGCATATTTCTCAGCTAATGAGAAGTAATATTTGACTTAACTGATAGACAATGACATGTGGACTTTGGCAGCTTCTGTGATTATTCCATTTCTCCATGGTCAGAATTTCTTAGTTTTCTCCCTTTCACATTCTAAGTGAAAGTCTTTATTTAGCCTTGATCTGCTTTCAGGTGTTTCCAGGCCTAGTAGCCACCTTTTCCTATCCCCTTGAAGAGTCTAGTCTGAAAAAGCAGAGTAGTCAGAGTATATTTGACTGAGCAAGATATAGGAAATATTGATTCAAATCCAATTAAATAATCTTATTGGTTCTTGAGGACAGTCTAGCACCCGTTTGAACACTGGTCAGGACAGCGGATATGGCATTAACAAAAGACTGAGAATCTTGCAACCAAATCTGCAAAACTCTAGTATGAGTTTAGTCTTTGGTAAGACAATATTAGCTTTAAAAAGTTTTCTTTTTAGAGTCTAATACACTATACTTATACATTAATGCATGTAGAGTTTAATATGAAATGAGAAAAGTGAATCCCATAGTTCTTAAGCACTCATAGTTATCTTTCTATTTTTTATCACTCTAAAATTTTAAAAACAAAACCAACTATGAACAAAGATCATTGTGAATTATATCTAGTTTCATAGATACTTAGACTTTGAGCCCTGACACCCATTTTAGGTATCTGCAAACTACAACAGCAACAAGGAGAAAGGAAGAATAAATATGAGAACATAAAAAGGAATCAGAAGGTAAAATTAGACGGTAAAATTGTAGATTGGGCCAATAAATGGTAACCAAAGAGAAGGAAAAATGAAAAGATAGGTGCAGAGATAGAGTGTTTACCAAGAAGCATGTTTCATCTTCATAATAAGTATTAGAAATCTCTCCATCTTTCAAATGGCCCAGCTTTTTAGGTAGTGCCATCTTAAGCAGTGAAAATAGTGTCACTGCCCTTCCCTCCTTGCCCTTTTTAGTACTTTCCATTTAAAAAAAGAATACGAAGAAGAGCATAATCCACAAATCACTATGATTTTTAGGTCTATTTGAACACATCTCCAGTTTTCTCTGCCAACTGTGCAATGTTAAAAGCACCATTTCTCCATGTCTATTTGTGTTAGGATCACTTGTGTTGGTTGTTTGAAGTGCAGTTTCGTGGGCCCCACCTCAGACTTACTCAGCTTTTGAGGCAGGGTCTTGGAATCTTGTGTGGTGTGTGTGTGTGTCTACATAAAAATATATAATATCTGTGGCTTTCAAATATAAGGTAACTAATAATTTATTTTCCAACTTGGGAGAGTTTCGAGAAAGAGCATACTGTTAATAGTTACACCCAGACAATAGGCATAAACCAGGGTGTATGGTCCCCCTATTAAAGACTTTTGTGATAGGCAATATTTTTTCAACTGAGGAGATGGAAGATGAGACAGAATCAGAAAGAATACAGTATTCTGTCATGCTAAGGCAGAAAATATATGAACAAGACTGGAGACGTAGGTGAAGCCACCCCCAAAGGTGGGACAGTATGTCTACAAAAACAAAATTAAAAAACAAAATTCCACCCCCAAAATTAAAACAAATTCACTATTAACGTGGCTAGTTACCTGAGATGAATCTATTGAGTGAATGATTTACCAAGCAAGGTGGATGATTCCTGGAAGCACAGGAGTGTTTCAGTAGTATGGGATCAATGCAGTAGGGTATTTGACCTTATGTTGTAGGGAAAAATGAGAAGATAGGGTACTAGATCAGAAGTTTTCAGTGATAAGGCAGAGTATGAGTTATTTTAAGCAGGTAGCTGGGATGAATGGGGGGGAGGGGCATTGTGCCAAATAGTTTCATAATCTACCCCAGCCGCCATATTCAACAGTTGCCTCAAGATCATTTACTGTGGAGATGGGAGTGGCGGTGGCCTCCCATCACCACCTCCTCCTGCTAATTCACTATGGAAGGACAGGTAGTCAGGGATCTATAATCCCCATACTTAATAGTGGTTACGTTATGCAGAGGGACCTGATTTATTTAAACACTTAAAGGAAAACAAGGTAACATCTGTCTCTGAATGCCCCTTTCCTGGGGGGGGGCTGATTATTGCTTCTGACCCTTGGGGCATTGCTGCCAGGGCAAAGTGAAGGTAGCTGGACAGGCCTTCTTTGCCCTGAAAGCCCTTTATCTTCTGAGAGACATAACCAGGACAGGGAAGGAACAGCTCTGAGTGTGCCTGTGCTTAGACTCCCCCCACCCCCACCCCCACCGCCCCTGCCATCATCCATCCTACGGACCTGGTTGGGTTCAAAGCTGCTGGTTGGGGCCTAACTGAGAAAATAATTTCCCTGAAGGCTGCAGGGAAAGACCC